AAGATCCGAACTCATATGAGAGACTGAACCACATGATTGAGAATCATGTATAATGGTGACGTCGTTATTCTCAAGGTTGCTTCTATGGATAACATATAGATATCCATTGTCTAGGCTTACTATTCAGCCATTTATGAAATGACTACAGAAGAGCTATCATCATTGATGACCAAGCTGATTGGCTCTAGTGCAAGTGGGAGATTGTTGGAAATGTGCCCTAAAACCAATCATATAATGATACTTTACGGACATTTCACATGTTAAACTAATCTAGTTTAATATCAAGGGCAAAAATTATTGTTTGAGCCGTCTCATATAAATGTTATATGCTTAAACGATATGTCCAAGGAATATGTGATTGGGAGAATGCGATCTAAAGAAGTTAGATTCATGAGACCATTCTTTCGTAGACACATCCTAAACGTTCCTGATCATAGGATTGCCAATTGGGCATTGACAGTCCGTTAAGATCAGTACGTGCTGTGTCTTCTCTCAGGGAGAGTGACTAGTCTCGAGTCATTGGTGTGTGTGACATCAAGACAAGTATGTAGGTGCTCAATAGAGAATGAGTTCACTGAACACGATTAACGAAGAGTTCTCATATTCATGTCACATGAGAACTCATGGTTGGGATAATGCAAAGTAGTCCTTTGACCTGAGGCATCACGTTTGTCTTGTGGTTAAGTCCTTGATCTTTGATTATGTCAAAGTCACCCCATCCGCGGGTGTCCACGGCATCGTTGGGGTTAAGCCACTTAGCTATGGAGGCAAGTGAATGCGCAACAAGGGATCTCTAACCTTCAAACCGTTTGGGGGAGAATACTCTATGATATGATTTAGAATCTCTGGCCAGAGTATGAATGAGATTTAGGAAAGTCGTTCCAAATCACATTCAAGGTAATCATATAAGCACACGAATCACATTGGATAGTAGACATGAATAAACTATCAAACCAAACAATGTGGTCAAGAGTATTGTATTAGAGAAAGACCGTATTGCATTTGTAATCCTAAACTGAATAGGTTCTCTACCTCTTCTGATTAGCTTGGGTAACCATGATATACTGCTAGGTGTCACTCTTGGTTTGTGGAAGCCCTAAACGTGTATAAACACTAAAGGGAGAATTGAAAGTACGTTTCAATTCACAATCGATTTTAAGAGTTTTAATCGCCCACTGCCTCGTTAAAAGGAACCTAATGGATCGTACACCGTGTAATGTGGAGATTGAAGAAACAATGGAGATGAGTAAGAATAATTAAATGGTTTAATTATTTATGGCAAGGATTAATTAATATGTTAATTAATCAAATGAATAAGTTCGTTGAAGACCTCGGGATAGTTTTGGACCTTAAGGCCCAATGAGCTTCGAACGTCAAGCCCATTGACTTAAGTTGTATGACAATTTAATGAATAAAGATTCACAAAGGCCCAAAAGCCCAAATCCCTTATGTGGCCGACCATGTGTGTTGAATTAGGGTTTTTGGTTCTTAAATCATTTAAAGAAGTGACTATATAAAGAACTTTATAGCCTAAAATTCATTATGGATTCTTTTGGAGAAAATTGGAGAGAACATGTCTCTCATTTTCTCTCTAGGAGGCCGGCTCCCTTGGAGGGTGTATCTAGCAATCCTACCACTCCAAGGTCACTCATTTCTTCTCCAATCTAACCTTGGTGAAGATACTTAGAGGTTCTCAATTTTGGGAACTTAGAGAAACCTATTCTTCCATCCAAATCCATAGATTTTAGATGCAAGGAATGAAGGCGCTCTCTTTGGGTGATTAGCCTTTGCTTATGCAAAGAGGAATCTACAAAGGTATATATTTCTCAACTCACTTTGATTTGAGTTGAGTCTTGGTTCACCAATCTACTAGGCTTTGAATTTCATAGGTAATGTTTTGTTTTTGAATGCATGCAAGCATGATTCCGCCTTTTAATTATTAAATGCATGCTATAGATGTTATTCAAATGAACATGTTTTCACAAAATCATCCTTCAGGTGTAACCAGTGATAATGCAAAGTTAAAAATTCCACCCAATAGCCATTTAGAAATACGATTTAGTGATATTTCTCTTCACTTATAAATGAGAAGTCTTACGACATTTCGAACTCCAGTCTAGTTTAACAAAATTCGGAAATATTTGCCTACCCCGAGTTTTGATGGCAGAGTTGGCGCAAACGTATTGTTGACATAGATGTATTGAAACAATGTTTGTTAACAAAACTTACAGCATCTCGAAGAGAAATTTCAAATTTTGTTAAACTAGGAAGTGAACAGTGTCAAAAATTATTTTAGCTACTCAATTTAACTTTTCATCTCTAACAACATTATGAAACTTTGAATATTTTATTATTAACCATTCAAACCCAACCCACTCACTTTTTAAAACAACCTTTACTATCTTCCTTTTCTCCTTCTCAAGGGTCCACCTTTGATTTTTATTTTTTTTAAATATTTAGTAAGTGAATAGTTGCGCTCTAAATTTAAAGAGTAGCACAACTGATCCTTATGAGCATGGATAAAGTTCTTAATTTTTTAATGTGAGGTTCATTCTCTAAACATGCTCATTCACGTGTGCCACAGTTTAATCGTAATACGTAAACAATATATATATATATATATATATTCAGCGATGTGAGTTGTGAGATCATGTTTATCATTGTCACATCCTCGCCCGCACCCCCACCATATCCCGGACTTAACTCCACCGTAGTACGATATTGTCCTATTTGGGTCCCGACCACTCTCTCATAGTTTTGTTTCGGAGAACTCACACAAGAACTTCCCAGTGGATCACCCAGGATCCAGGGATTGCTCTCGCGCGAACTCGCTTAACTTCGGAGTTCCGATGGAACCCAAAGCCAATGAGCTTCCAAAAGATCTCGTGCTAGGTAGAGATGAGAATATACATATAAGGCTTATATGATTCACTCCCCTGGGTGATGTGAGATGTTACAATCCACCCCCCTTAGGGGGCCTACATATATACATCATATATACATATAAGACTTACAAGATCCACTTTCCTGTGCGATGTAGGATGTTACAATCATTGTCCTTTAGTACGACTATACAAAAATTTAAGTTTTCACCATAAAACCTCTCTCTTATCAATAAAAAGTGTTATATATAATCGATGTACATGTAAACAAACATTTGATTGTAGCAAGAGCATTGTTACTGTATCAAATAACTATAGGTCCGCAAATAAAAGGTTTTACATTCGACTTGATGATCATCACAAGCTGCAGGCTGCATGGTATTGGTAATTGTATGGTCCGAGCGTGATGGGAATTCAAGCAAATGAATCAGGAGGCCTTAGGCATCATAATACCTGATCCATCTCGAACGCGTTCCCAAGCAACAAGAGAAGAGAAGATGGGTTTTTTATGAAAGATTTTTCAATATGATGGGTAAGCGAGATGGTACATTACGTGTTATTATACAAATTGTAAGATATGTGTGTAAAAAAAATTAATAACTTAAAAAATAAAATTTCTCACCATTCATATAAAAACGTGATGTACCACTCGTGCTCCGATCATAATGAATTTTTTTTTTAAGATTGTGCTACCATCATACAAAAAAATACAAAACCTTAGCTAGCTAAATCATATCACGTCACATCATATCACATCATATCACATCATATATGTGTGGAGCCAAAACCCTAAATATTTACAAGCTACATTATATAGGACTCTCCAATTGGACCATTGCCAAAGGCAACAAGCCCACACCCACATCACCGGCCTGATCAAACGGCATCGTATTCCCACCGCCAGCCAGTAAAGGAAAGGAATGTATCGGCATTTACAAGGGGGGTCTGGTGAGATTTCTGACCCCTGTCATGTGATTGTGGGGCTTCGGCCTTAAAAGAAAGTGAAGTTTTTAAGGGCAAAGTTAGGCCATCACAGTTGACTGTTGACAGTTCCACTCAAATGGTGTTTTTCTGTTTGTAAACACACTTTCAGGAAAAAAAAAAAAAAAAAAAAAAGATTCATCCACCCCCAAAAGCACTTATTGTGTGCTAAGTGCTTCTTCAAACAGTTGGTAGATCTGAAACCTTTATCTTTCATCACATTTACTACTTGTACATTTGTGTGGTACTATTGCTTCTATTTTGGTGTAAAGACCTAGATTTATGGTGAGAATCACCGAAACTAAAAGACCATATTCTGCATTTGATTAGGGCTTTTGGTCATTGGATAATTGGTACTGCATGTAAGTGCTAGGTGGGTCCCACTCGTTAATCTAAGGGTCCAGATGGAAATGATGGACAGCATGCTCCACTGTGATGCTCTTCCAAATCCAGGAAGCAATAATCAGATATCAACCTTTTAACTTTTTCATCTCCCTTCCGAAAGAAGAAATTGTTCCCAATAAAGAAAGGAACCAAAAATCAAGGCAGGAAAAAAATAAGATCTAACAGCTTTGTTACTTTAAAAGATTGACCACAAAATTCCAAGAACATATACGTGAGGACGCTAATTTCTGGTTTCTCGTGTGAATGTCGACTCTAATTATTGTAATAATTTCGCTCCTCTTCCCTTACTAATAATGTTTTTTTTTTTTTTTGAAGAGATAATTTTTTATACCACCCTATGGGTTTTTTTTTTCTGGACGATATACCACGGTCTATGAGAATTAAGGGCAGTAATTGTAACGTCACTTCAGTACTTCACCATGTAAGTCAAGCCTGTATATATACAAATATTATAAAACATTCGATTTGAAGTGAAGGAACCTAAAATTGGGAAAAGGATCCGGCGTTAAGGGATTTCGTGATCGTGATCGTTTATCATATATTGTGCGATCAATTTTCATTAGATGCTATTTATATTTAATTTTAAATTTTAAAATAATTTCTGATCGCACGATGTACGATGAACAATTACGATCACAGAATTCTTAGGATCCCCATAAAAAGATTCCGGAGAAGATCTTTCCCTAAAATTGGTGGCTCCATATATTGTTCACAGGATACTGGTGGTCTGTTAATATATTTCATTCACTCGTTTTCTTCGGCTTCTCTTCTCTCTTACCATTGTGTATTTCTCTCCTTCACTACTCCACACTGCGCATTTTCTGATAAACTCCAGTAACTCTTTATCTTCCCCATCCCTCTGCAACTCCTCCAGTACTACTTTCCATCACTTCTCAGACTTCAAACCCTACTTCCCCTTGCTTTTCTCTTTTCTTCTTAGACACTCAAGACACTTTAAATTTTATTTTTCTTACCAGTTTATATAATTTAAAGAAAATTATAGGCTACGCATATATATAGCAATGGATATTGGCCAGTACAAATCAGAGGAGCAGATGGAGATGACGATGATGATGATACAAATGGAAAAAATCTCTGAGCTCTGCGGTGCCTACAACAACGATGTGGTTTCCGACCTGCCGCCGTCCGATCACAATTTCTCATCCACCACAACTAGTCCTAATAGTCTCAAGGCCACCATGTCACATTACACCGACCAAAACACACATAACAATAATATTCATTCACCAAACTCACAATCCTTCCTAAACCTCCCAACAATCCCATCTACCGTTTCATTCACCAACACAAACCCTACTGACCAAACAAACGGCACGTCACCGTCGCAAAAACGTGCTTCGATGGCAGCCATGAGGGAGATGATATTCCGGATTGCAGCCATGCAGCCGATCAACATCGACCCAGAATCCGTTAAGCCACCAAAGAGAAGGAACGTGAAGATTTCTAAGGACCCTCAGAGCGTGGCGGCCCGGCATCGGAGGGAGAGGATTAGTGAGAGGATTAGAATTCTGCAGAGACTTGTCCCGGGCGGGACAAAAATGGACACCGCTTCCATGCTAGATGAGGCCATTCACTATGTCAAGTTTTTGAAGACTCAGGTCCAAACGCTGGAGAGAGCTGCGACTAATAGGCCTACCGGGATTGGATTTCCTGTGGCCATGTCTAGTCGGAGCTACATTTCTAACTCTATGTCTGAGGTTTACGAAGCTTCTCATCATCATCAGAATGTGCAGCATTTCGATCGGTGACGCTTAATTATTGATTAATAATTAGTCCAACTGGTTAATTGTTTGATTGTGGGGTTGTAAATTAGGAACATGCATGAAACTATTGTGATCTTCGTCGATCTTACATAGTTTTAAGCTTACTTGTAATCCATGTTCTCTTTTCTATTAATTAAATAATAACATCCCTTGGTTTTCATGAAAGAGAGAAATTGGCAAACATTATTGTTTTAAATCTTAATTATTGAAATAATCAACTTTAAATATGTCGTCGAAATTTAGTTACCAGTGTACGTAGTAGATATTTAATAATTTTATTGTTAAAATTCAATTTTAAACATTTTTTTTATCAAAGAGAGCTTCATGTAAAATCAAAGAATTATGAAAAATTGCAGTTGGGGAATCATGTGTACTTTGGCATATGGTCCTTGGGAACATACAATAATGTACTATAATTTTTAGGTCTGGTTTGGTACTGAGGTGATTCTGAAAAAAACTGGGAGCTTTTTTTGTGTTTGGTAAACATTCAGCTTCAGTTTTTTTTCACATTTTTGGGTGAAAAAAAAGCCAAAAAAAAAGAAGCTGTAAAACCCAGCTTTGAAAAACCGGCTTTTTTTCACATCTGTTTTACATAAAAGTTTACCAAACACTATAATACTGTTTTTTTTTTTCAAAAGCTTTTTTACAAAAAAAGTTTACCAAACACTCTACAGCTTTATTTCACAGCCGCTTATTCTCACAGCATAGCAGAAACAATTTTTTTTTCAAATGACAGCAATACCAAACCAGTCCTTAGTGAGTTGTCAGGTTTAGGAAACTAGGATGTATCTTTATGTGCCTGGTAAGAAAAAAAAAATCAAGAGAAATGGCAGGTTTGGTATTGCTGTGTTTTGAAAAAAAATAGATTATGCTGTGCTGTATGAATAAGCTCATTTTTGTTGCTTCATATTTTCAATTTTTTTTCACCAAAAACTGTGAAAATAAACTATTTTTAAGTGTTTATCAAATACCTTTTTGAACTCAGCTTTTTTTTATACCCATTTTTTAGAACTACCAGCTTGGTCATGATAACAATAATGTTGATGGACCCTGCGTGCAATGGAATGGTTGGAAAAAATATTGTTGACACGGGGAAGTTCAATTATTTTACAAAATAAATCTCACTTTATCTTATCATCTGACACGATCATTAAACGTGTATTTTTTTATCAAAAAGTTAATTTCACATTTATCCGAGTAGTACATTACTCTTTTTATGATACACTAGACAATCCGTTGAGATTATATATACAAATATAAACAGTTTAAAATACCAATAAATTTTGAGCATGTATTCCATGACAGCATATTTATTCAAAGTTAGGGAGAGATACATAACAAGTAGGATGGGAGGAGAAGAAGAAGAAGGAAAGAGGTATCAAATTAATATTATGATTGTGAATTATAGAGAATGCATGAGAGGTCCACGTGAAGTTCTCTGACATAACGGTGGTGGTAGCTTTAGGCAAAGTGATAATGTTGTTTTCAGCCATCACCACTTCGCCACCCTTCCCGTTACGAACACGTGAACTCTATCCCACATGGCAATCCTTCGTGGCTCTTTATAGTGCCAACACTTCACAACACAACACTTGCTGCACTCCCCTTAAACTTTGTTGCCGTTGCAGAATGTATGCGTATCAGTTCTTGATAAGAATTAGTATAGTGCACAGAAATATTAAATTTGATGATTTAATTCATAAACCCCAATATGTTTTAGGAGTGTAAAACACCTCACAGGTGCCACTTTCCTATGACTTGCTACTGAATTTGCATAGGGACGCGGGGCTTCTGGAGGCCTTCCAGGGTTAAAAATATTCAAGACTTTCTATTTCTGGAGAACTTCCACACCTTTCTAAATTTCTAATTTTAGGGTTCTTATCCATTTTTGTCTGAGACGTGCTATAAGGTGCAACCTCGCAAGCAACTCCAAGGGGTTTCTCTTTTCGCATGAGATAACATTGGGCACCTCTTAAGTTCCTGAAAGGATTCAAACCCTATATAAAATAATATAAAATAAAATTACAAGTTTGAAGATGGTAATGACAACAAAGTTAAGAGGAAATATACAGATCACTTTTGTTTAATACTATATTGTATGCATTCCAAAAAGGGGTCAATAAACAATGAATAGTTAAGTTGGTAAAGATCGTTCTTTTTACTAGATTAAGATCTAATTAAGTTCGAGTTCCGTTGCCAGCAATCTCTCTTGATGAAGCTCTATAAAAACCAAAAAAAATAGACCCTTTGTAAGTCCTCAAATAAACTTGTAGAATGCCTTGTTGTCGTGAGATGAGGTAGTCTCCCCTCCCGCTAAACTTTCTGTTACCGAAAAAGGGGTCAATATTGTTTGCAAATATAGTAAAGAGAAATGAAGGGTAGGTTGCTTCCCAATGGAGGATCTAATGAGGGAAGTGCTAATGTCTCAACACACCAAAAAAAAAAAAAAAAACCATTTATTCCCTACATCCACAACATTCCAACCAAATCTAACACAATCTAGGGGAAATAAAAAAAATAAGGGAAACATAGACATGATAATATATAGATATTAATAACTTTTACTAAATAAGAATGGTCAAACAAAAAACAATGAGAAGACCCATGTCATGTGAGACATATGGCTATGGTCCCCAACATCCTCATCCTCAAAGGTCGTCTTCAATAGAGTAAGAGGTGTCCCCTTGTCCTACGAATACAAAGCATAGACACTTCCAAAACGCACAAGTGCTTTGCATCTCTTTCATACATCCACTTCATGCACCAAAGCAATGAAATGGTTCAATTTCTAAACCCTACAACCAAAAACTTGAATTTGGTGTCAATTTAAGTAAATACATGCATTAGAGAGATTGGTGTTCTTTCTTGTTTTTCTCGGAAATGTAATTAAGTGACAGAATGAGTGACATGCATCATCAAATTAAAATATAAAACGTGTAACAAGTTTTTATTTAGAATTCAGATTTTTTTTTTATGTTACGTTGTACAGAACAATATACAAATTGCATGTGAAATGTGAGTGCGGAATTGCCCTAGTATATAGTGTCCTTCTTTCATCTTTTTTCCTGTTTTTCAAAATTTCTTTCATAATGTATGGTTCAGTGTAAAAGTGTCGTTTCTATAAATAAATAAAAACCAAGATGCTACAGGTGAATTCACACCAAGT